GGGGGGGGGTGACGTCAGGTTTACAGGAGGCCAGCTGTCAGGAGAGTCCTTTGTTTTACGATGTGAGACACCAGAGGAAAGGCACACAGATCCATTAAACACAGTCCCTCCTGCACACTAACAGCACTGTGAGCCTCCCTGCTGCTGGACCGCAGGTCCTTCTGTTTCCTGTCAGTTTGTCCGTTAACGCGGCCGCATAATGGAGCCGTCGCCCGGCTATCAGCAGGGACACAGAGGCAGGTTGGGAGTTTCCCAGTAACAGAAAAATGCTGCTTAATACCGGCTGCGGTTTATTTATTCAATCTGAGGCTCATGTAGGCCACAAAAAAAAGAAGAAAATACAGAAGCGCCCCTCATTAATTTAAATGAGGCCACTGTGTTGGCACAGTCAACCCAAAATGTGCACATTTCTGTCAGAATTATTTGTAATGTGAACGGCCTAATTCTACTATCAAGCCCAAAGAAATGATCATCTGAACGCGGAACGAGGACTGTGGTATATTTCAGCTGCAAATACACTTTTGTAAGGTTAAGTATTTTATCGAAGTTTTTACGTTTGCCATGTCTTGCTAAAGACAGGAAGTGATCCATCGACCATTTATGGCTGCTGCTGAATTTAGCTTACAGTGAAAAGGCAAACTAGCAGGCAAAGATAGCACAGCCTAAAGAAACAGCAACAAATATCTAAAGCCGTGTTCTACCAAGAAGTTTTAGGAAAAGGTTCCTTCAGCCAATAGTGGTCTAAAGACTGGCCGAGACCCTTTTAAATGATTCGGGAAGCCGACAGCAAAGCCTAACTTTACTTTTAATGCTCTAAAACAAAGAGAAATGCTCTCCCCTCGCCCTGATAAGGTCCAACATCTGTACTAGAGTACTTCCTTGTTTTATGAATGAAAGGGTAGACGAGTAGACCAATCATCAACCGTCATCCCTGCTAACCCCTCCCCAAAAGTTCTTGTACTTTCAAAAAGTACTATTCCCCTTCCAGGGCCTCATTAGGAGGTAAGATGTCCCCCCGGAAAATGTCCCCAGAACTTAATTTAGGACCTGGTCCCTGCTGTCATAACGCATTGGGCTCCTCTAAAGGTTCCTCGTCCCGGGGGAGAGTTCATGGGGTCTAGAAGAAGCTTTAGAAGTTAGTTTTCATGACATGTGACCTTCTGGGTAACGTAGAGCAGAAACACGAGAATAATTGCGTTTAGCATGGATGAAGGATGGAGATTAAAAACCAGACTGGACACAAATGAGAAAAACAAAGGTTTTTATATCTTATATCTCATATCAACTGTGATATTTATGGCAGCAGCCGCCCAGATGGCACAAAAGACTGAAGACTGAGTTTGATGATAATGAGTTGTGTATTTATGTGTATGATGTGTTTGTTTTTAATGAGTGTAATGTCAGAGTTGAAATAAAAGCTGTTGGTGCCTCATTTTATTAATACCATCAAGGTTCCTTAAAAATAAAGGCGTTTAAAACTCAGGAGCTCCAGTAAACACTGTAAACAGGTAAAGATGTTCAAATAAAAACATAAAATACAATAGAGTCAATCTGGCTTCACTTAGAACAGACAGGATCCTTCAACCAGCTGAAACGTTAGAGGCTGACTGCTATAAAGCTGAAGCAGCCTCTAACAGAAAATACGAAAGTTCATTTCAGTGACATGCGAGTGGTTTAAATCCTGAGGTGTGAGCTGTGGGCACCAGTGAAACCACTTCAGACAGAAAGAGGAAAAACAAACCGTGGTTGTATTTTCTGAGGTTTCTGCTTCTTGCATGTGTAAAAGCCCGATCGTGTGTTTTTTAAATTGCTGCGTACACAGAAAGCACTTGAATGTCCTTTAGGCATTTATCCTTCAACATGTCTGCATTAATACTGCAGAGAACACTGTTCTGACAACTATAAATTAATAAAGCCTTCTCTCAAGCTCCCAAATAATTTTTCCCCCCACAAATGTTTACTTCAAAAGGTGAAGTGTACATAGCAGTGCATGCATACAATGGATACTGTGTGTGCGTGTGTGTGTGTGTGTGTGTGTTTGTTTTGACAGAAATAGGAGCAGCCGAGTGGATTTATGTGGTTTTAAAACATGTCTGCAGACGGAGAGAGGAAGTGTCGGACTCGGCAACAACATTTCTGGTGTGCAGCAGAGCAGGAGAAGCATTCAGCCGGCCAGCTGACAGTAACGCTCCGCCTCAAGACCTCCGGAGGAATGCAGGCCAAAAAGTTGAAAGGATGTCTGCTGGCCGCGGTGCAGGAGCACAGGCACGGAGGAAAAAACTAGAGCTGGACGTGTAACCTTTAAGCCAGGTGACCAACAGGCTGCCACGGTTAGACTCTCAGTCATGTGGAGTCGAGCTGCATGGTGACCAGATGCTCAACAAACAAATCCAGTTTTTTTTGGACTCAATCTCATTGCATGCAATTATAAAAATCTGACAATGATGCGATACATGTGGCATAGAGAAGCAGCAGTGAAATGAACTGTAAGAAGGAACTATGAGGAGCATCAATTCCTTCATTCTAGAGATGTTTGGATATCATTGGTGGTGTAAAGGACCGTAACTGATCCGTGATCTGTGGAGAGTTAAGTTTGCTTTTTTTCTGTTTATCTGATCTGGGAGTTCTGCGATCAGTTGCACCCCTAAATACCAGGTATCATTCTAATACCTGAACTTGAGTATCAGCCAACACCGAGTACCAATCCGATACCAGTGCGTTAAAAACTAAAACGTTCACGGTTCCCTCTCTAATATCTATTTTGTATTGCAGTGAAAACATCTCAAAAAGATTTCATGGTAGCATTATTATTCACCTTTTCCCAATGCTAATTTTTACTTAGTGAAGCTTGAACGCATCATATATGCAACTTAATGCAACCTCCGTATGTTAGCTGTAAGCTCTGTTATCGAGCCAAGTAGGGCCCACCGCTAACAGCTAACAGCTAACAGCTAACATTAACTAGCTCTCCTCCTGCCGGTTTAAACACAGATTTGTTGTTCACAATCCAGCATTATCAGAAGAAAAAATAAGTTGCATGAGAGTGTTTTACCACAGGTGTGAAGTACTAGTTTGCACATGTGCAGTACCGATTGGGCAGGGTGACTACTGCATTTCTGGTCCTGGCATCAGTATCGGAACACATCTACTTCATTCGGCGCAGTAAAGCAGACTTAATAGACGACTGTGTTTGGGGAGAATGAGCTGGGGTCAGGTGGGAATTTGTACCGTTTCCCGGTTCTTACAGGGGCTGATGCTATTTTCTGCTGGGAGATCAAAGACGGGAGATGCAAATGGGTCAAAGAGAGGCAGAATGCTGAGACGAGTCGTTTCCTCTGATTTCATCTACACTCGCATGTATGAGGGCAATCCTTACCAACACAAAAAACAAAACTCAATGACATCAATCGCACAGAAACACAGCAGCATGTCAAAAAGAACACGGTGCTGCTAACCGAGTGTGGCGTTACTCTACCAACCTGTCCGGAGGAGGCCAGCAGGTTGATGGTGGTCAGAAGCATCCAGCCACGACTCGCCTCCTCACTCTGGTTCACCTCCAGGAACTGGACTATGGCTCGACTGGCTGCCTCTGGAAAGGCAAACACATGAAGATGCCGTTAACTAGATGGAAAGTGACAGCTCATTGTGGCGGGCAGATGGGCTGCTGGAACAATGATCAGTTATGCAACGAATAAATCATCTCGGTGAGAAGTGACATGTGTTGTAATTTGATGTGTGATTTTCCAGATTATATAATGTCTGTATTCTCAAATGTTATGCAGAGTGAAGGAGGAGAAGGAATCAACCTTTTGCAGATACATTAGAGAGGTATACTCCACATGTCTGTGAACATGACAGAGGAGAAAGAGAATTGGACTCAGCGTTGGAGGCGGCGCCCCGTTCCTTCGTATGGAAGTTGCTCTGCGGCGCATGAAGCTAAAGTATAAAACCACCCGATCTTTAACACATCCCTGCTCACAAGTCCTAGTCCCCATCTCTGCTCTGTGGTGAGCAGGACAATTGAGATTTTGGACATGTATTTCTTGTCATCATTGTGCGTCATCACTGACGGTGGCTTTTAGAACAAAAGAAACACAGTTACTCCCTTGCAGTGGATGATTCTGTCAGCTTCCAAAACCTCCCTACAGGATGAGCTACAGTCTAGTTGCTCTCTGCTATTTTTTGATTCGAGTTGCAGCAAATCAAAATCACTTGTTCTTGATGACAGAGCACCGCAACGTCAGTCCAGACCTGAGTCAACTACTGATCTACAGAGGCCTGCTGACCAGCTGGAGGAGTGCGTGTTCAGACACAAACATCTGAGCGCCTCTCTCTGCTTGAAAACAACACATCACATGTTCAGACAGACACGAGAGAGAGAGAGAGAGAGAGAGAGAGAGGAGGAAATCGGAGTCTACTTCAGGTCTTTCCTGTGAGGACGTCACAGTCAGAGCTGCTGCTACTGTCAAAGCTTTGAGGAGACGTGAAGAGTGAAGTCAGATTAAACTCACAGCTTATTATTAACGTGGAAGTGGACACGATGTCAGTTGCGTGTATGAACACTGTCCTGATTGGAGGATGAATGCCTGTCTATCCTTTTGAGCACCAAATAGAAAGTCTCTTGGTAAATTTATTGTCTGCAGCTTTACAGCAAACTATAATAAAAATCTAAGCATCGTGATTTTAACTATAAATCCATCAGCATTGATAATGGAAGAAGTGAAGAGGAAGAAATCTCTTCCACCATCCCGGTCAATATTAGCAAAGCCAAAGTGCGAGAAGCACGGCGGTTATGGGAAATAACCACAACTGATGCCAAAGGGATGATAAATGGAGGTTTCCATCTATGGCGTTATAAATCGGTGTGTCGGAGGGCTCACCTGTGGATTTGTTGGAGGCTCTTCGTCTGATCTCGGTCACCATGAGCCGGGACACCTGGGTGGTGAACTGCAGCAGGTCGGAGAACTTCTCCGTCATGGTGCTGGGAGGAGCGTTCCCAAACACCTGAAGCAGAAAAGATCAGCTATGATTACATAAGAAAGCAGTGGAGCCCACACTGTCACTAACTGCACTCCCCGCATGCATATTACCAAATTTCTCAAAAAAACAAAAAAGCCATTTAAGAGAGAAGCAGACAGAAGGGTCTACAATAGTGTCTGAAGGCTATAACGAGGATGTCAAACTACTTCAGCAGCAACAACAGCTTAAACAGATAAAGATAGAAGATAAAGCTACAGATCACAGCGTGAACGTAAACCACCACATCAGCTGGAGGTAGAGACAGAAGACAATGAGATGAAGGAACAACACTGTTCCTCTTTATTCACTGTTACAATCATTAAAATACATCCAGTATACCTTCAGTAGCTAGATAGAAGTGCTAACGCCAGTTAATGACGCACTAACCTACTCTGCTAATGTTAGCTCCACATGTTTTTATGTAGAAACGTAACATTATTACACAACTTTTAACTATGACCAGCTCCACATCCACTAAAAGAGCCTGAAAATTGAAGAATATCTGAATAAGATCATGAGTATTGATTCTACGCTATGATTGGCACAGTCTGCGTTCCAGGGGCGGGCCTTAGCAAAGCGACAAATGACAGCTGTGATCACATGAAGCATTGAACACGCAGGAATCAGAGTGGACTCTCGCTGTTTCTTTTTTTTCTGTCCTAAATTCACAGCCACAGAGCTCACTGCAGCCCGAGCCTTTAGATAAAACTACGACGACTCATTACGGATTTATTTACCCGGCAAATGTGACATGAAAGTGGGCCCGGAGCCCCGCTGCACCGGGACTACTCGACTTCTGAATCCTGACATGAATCACAGCCAGCGCCGGGTAATTAGCCGACAAGTCAAGAGACCCTCGGTATAAGGCCCTCCAGTGAGACGAGAACACTCAGCAGGGAAACAAAGAGGCTCACTCCTCTATCCGAGGATATGAAGATGGACTGTAGATATAAATATCATTTCATTGAGTCCTGCTTTCACTGCTCTGTTGGATAAACACGTGCAGACTTTTTAATCTACGCCCACTCTTATTTAAAACATGACTTCTAATTCTAAAGCATGTCACGCGCCATACACCTTTAGTTATTTATGCATTTTAGCTCAGCACTAATTATTTTCTACGGATGTTGAGCTTGCCAAGACATTGGAATTACTCAGCTAACTTTATGTTGATATAACTGATCAACTATTTAAGTTATTTTAATATGCAGCCTCAAGTATAAAGATGTGAGTGTAAAGCGTGATAAAGGCCTCTGATCTTTCTCCATTAATAAACGTTGTGTTGACAGTGTGTGGGAGTTCACTACCTCTGCATGACTACACCCGTCTATCAGGTGAGCATTAGACAATATTACCATCGTCACATGCTTTTGAGTTCAGGTAGCTCACAGTGTCCCCGTGTGACATCAAGGAGCTCAAGCTTCAAGTCAGTGTCAATACGAGAGGTTATTATAAAGTACCATTCCACATACAGTAGTTCAGTAAATATACAGCGTGTGACCCAAAGCTAGACTGAAAACATCTCATTGTGCTCTAGTTTGCTGAACTTAAAGGTATAGTTAGATGTTTTGAGGTACTTCTTCATAGTCAGAGTATTACTACAGTAGATGGAGTTTAGATAAACAGACAGGAGCAAAGTAAAGTACTGCTGTGAACGTATTTCTCACACCTAAAAATATTAGTTTAACTATATTTAGAATATTGTCACCGCCTTACCTTGCCTCTTGGGTTATTGTGTGACTTTGGTAAATCCAAACTGTCCCTTTCAAAACACCAAAGTCACACAATAATACAAACAAACTAAGACGGTAGACCAGCAACTCCCGTGTTCTGTGATGTAAAATAACATTTTTATCAATGGAGTCTTGTGGCCTTAGAGAGAGCACAGATAACTGCTTCAGCTCCAACAGAAAGGTCTGTCTGACAGCAAGGTAAAGCGGGGAAAATATTGTAAATATAGGGTCAATTTAAACCAATATTGATATTTTTAGGTGTCTGAAATATGTCAACAGCAATACATTACTTTGCTCCCGTGATGGTTCTCCTGTCTGTTCCTCCAAACTCCATCTACTGTAGTAATACTCTGACTATGGAGAAGTACCTCATACAACCACACTTCTCTTTAAACCATAAAGTCAACACCTCTACAAGTCAACAGGCTCATTTCCACCAGATTCAGCTGCAGGCTGTGGAAACAGAATCTAGAAAAGTGTGCATGTAAATGATCTTAAATAGATGCAAGGTGAAATCTCATCTGTTGGGTTCATATCAATCCATTCGTATTCTCTATTAATACCAAGGCGTGAGACCATTGAATGAGTTGATCGAGCACCAACTTGTCTGTAACACGAGTCCAACAATCCATCATTTTGGGTGTGTTTGGACTCACCCTGTTGAACACGGGGAGCATCATGTAGAGCTTCTCCTCCTGCTCCTTCTGGGTCATGTGGCGAGGAGGGTGGCACAGCTCGGAGAAGAGGCGTCGCAGGTGCATGAGGCCCAGCGCGTTGTCCTGGGGGCTGCACTCCTCCTGCCTCGGCCGGCCCATGATCCTCTTCACCATGTTCATCTTGAGCGGCTTCGTCAGGGCAAAGGCAGCCCTGCAGACGGAAGAGAGGAGCTTTAGAGACCAAATCAATACTGGAGTAAAAATCTTTACGCCCTCTCTGGTACCAACTCAACACTGTCCGCAGTATCAAGTATCAAAAACGCTCAAATAACTCAGATTTAAATCATTATTTTGCCAAAACAGTATATTAATTAGCTGGAATTATCACACGACTGCTTTGTCTTTTGACAACATTTAACATTTCAGAAGTTTGGCTTCTTTTGGTCAACAAACAAAAGGTTTTTTTTGTAGAATAACTTCCATATCTCTCAAATTATTAGTACCCTTCTTGCATCTGTACCAAGACGTAGGTATCGTATCAGCACTAGTACTGTAGAGAGCATATTAGATTGAAAAAATGTAATTAAAAAGTGAGATACCCAGCCCTACTTCACTGCTTAGCGAGCGAGATCTACATTAAAAGCACAGTAAATAAGATGAGCATCTAACATAATGACAATAAAAACACCTTCAAGTCACCATAAAACACAAAGAAGTCTTTTGGGAGACAGAACTTCTACAAACTTAATTAAACAGGCTTTTAAAAAAACAAGTATGAGGTTCTTTACTCTGAACGGTATTTATTTTTCTCTTTCTTCATAGCATGGTTGATATATATATATATATATATATATATATATATCCACACAGCTAATTCTCTCCAGACTTTCTTTCAGCCAGCTAGTTGCTAGGAGACTTCACAGAGCGGCAGAGCCGACACACAGATAAACATCCACTGATAATAAAAAATAAAAACAGCCAGGAACGCTGCAACAGCATAACTTGCTCAAGGGCACACAGACAACGGGTGATGGTTGAGGGAGGAAAATAAATTCTCATTTATTTTACCTTTACGTGAGCTTCTGGGGACGCTTGATATTATAGACAGGAAAATAAAATGACATTGTTTTGCTGAAGGAGGCATTTAATAATTGTCTCAACATTTCCCAGCACTTCTCCATCTCACATTTGGTCACATCGGCTCTAAGCCGTGGACTCAGATTTAGCCGCTGCTGTAATTTACTGCAGTGTAAGCTAAACATCAGGTAGAAGTACAGATGTTCTGGACAAGGCTACATCCACTTTTTGGATGTCCGCTGAGGCGAAGTGAAGCTAAAAAGCACAGACAGTTCAGTTCCAGTCCTCTCAGAAACAGTGAAGAGACATGACAGTCTACCGTGCAGCCCCTCCTCTCACAGAGGAGGAAATAAACTCCTCGCAGCGGTTATTTTCTCTTTAGACGTTGACAAAATAGGCCCCGCCTTCTAGAAGAAAAAAATTGTTTCAGTAAACAAAAAGCTTAAAATTAAAATCTCAAAAATGTTGCTGACTTTAACAAATAGTTATGGCTACGTGGGAAGAAGTGAATCAAGTAACTACTACTATCTAATAAAAGGTGACAGAGTCCTAAAATGATTTGATTAATCATATTTAATAACTAAATAATGCAATGAACCAGACAGGACTTCAAAATTAAAACCCACTAAGTTCCAAAAGGCTAGTAAGTGGTCACTGAAGGACATTTATGACACACAAACATAACTACTTTCTGTATATTCTGCAGTTCACGCTACTGACATTTGACCCTACTTTGACCAAACGAATGTTAATTCAGGACGTATCAGAAAACTGACTTAAAATGGACATGAAATAGTCTTAAAAGAGTTCACCAATAGGTGAACTTCAACACTACATCCAGGTATCTCTGTGCAGAGAAGCAACATAGAAGAAGGGCTACAACTAACGATTATTTTCATCATCAATGAATCTGATAAATCGTCAGATATAAATTGTCAGAAAATAGTAAAAAATACCATCCCAATTCCTCAAAGTCCACGGTGAGGTCCTTACATGTCTGATTTCACACTAAACTGATCATCTTTCTGTTTTAGATTTACAGAACAAAAGAAAAAGCAGACAACCTACATATTTGAGAGGCTGAACACGGCAAGTTCTGTCATTTTTGCGTGAAAAATAACTTAGTCGATTATTTGTTTTTCCGTCAGACTAATGGTTGAGAAGTAGCTACTGAGGACTGAAGAAAGTGGTTTTCATCTTTTCTCCTCGAGCACTTCTGGGAAGTCTAAACAAATCTGGATTCAAACCAGCCACCCTCAGGGCTGGAGCTCCTCCAGCTAATTCACTCTTGGCAAGCGTCTCCGTCTGTTGGCTGTGTATAAATTTGATTCTATTGTGATATCACGAGGGCTGGAGATATCAATGTGTGTTTTAAAGCAGTTTGCAGACTTGACTTCATGCCAAACAGATTATTTCACATAATGTGACGGAGGATGCTCCTCGTTGCTGTTGGCTCCCAACGGTGTTCTGTTCCGGTGTCTTAGTTAAACACATTTTTATTTAAACATTTGATGTTTTTAGCCAAAATAATTATTCGTAATTGGCACCATTTTCCTCCAAATCATCACCAGTCAATCAATCATTTTATTTGTGACAAAGAGATATTGAAATTGAATGGCTTGATTGGAATGAAAACCCGAAATGAAGCAACAAACTCACTATTAACGCGTCGCACCCTATATTTTCCCTGATAATGCTTCATTGTGAACAACCAATCATAGTTGAAATCTGCAGGAGAGCTAGTTAACGTTAGCTGTTAGCACAGTCCAGCGGAGCTAACAGCTAACGTTAGCAGATGTTGCATTGAGTTTCATTTTGATGCGTTCAAGCTCTATTCAGTAAAAAAAATTAATGGTAGGCAAAGGCAAATCATAACGTCATCATATGATGTGTTCAAATGTAATCTTGTAAAATGTAGTTTTTGGCGAGAAACTTCAATGAGATGTTTTTACAGCAATAGAAAATAGATATTAAAGTGGGACTGATGGCTTTTGTTTCAGTTTTTTACCGTAGTATTAAATTGGGTATAGAGAATCGTTGAATTTCACTGGTATCGTCATCGACGTTGATTGTTTATTAGTTGTTCCTCTCCAAGCTCTGCTTTGCCCCAACCGGCATCTCCACAAACCACATCTACATTCTCCTCGTCCCTCTCGCTCCTTTAATTAAGGGCCGTCTTAAAAGACAGAACATGTTAAGGAACATCATGATGGCAGAGACAGACAGCTCCAAAGACACTTCAGAGTGTTTTGTCCTGATTTCCAGGAACACGGCATCTGTGGCACTAACATCATCACTCCGAGCTGAAGGCTTTTGTAACTCATTTTGCCCACACGGCAGAGCTGCCCTCTGCCTGAACTCGCACTCAAACGGCACCGTTTGGTCCACTTTTATCTGAAGTGCCTTTTCACGAGTCTGAGCACATGTTTGTAGCATGCACACAGTCTCAAGAGACGCTTCACCTGGTTAGCGCTCTGAGTTACATAATCAGTTGTGTCACAACGACGTTTTGGGCTTCTTTCCCCCCAATTTGTGGTTATTTTCCGATGAAGTTTTCTTTCGATGGAGATCAAAGGAGACCTGAAAGGCTCCGGGTTTGACATTTAAAATACAGCCCGTGTTGGCAGCGATGAGCTCCACGGTTCAGTTTTTCCTCAGCACCAGCCCTGCCTGTCTGAGATAAGGCCTTAGAGTTTATATCCTCTCCTAAACAACAACATTACACCACCACCTGCTGCACACGCTGATAAAGTTTGTTGAGTGTGTGACATGGGGGGCTTTGTTCCCACTGACGGGCCTTTTAGATGCACAAACTGTGAATTACAGCTCACTGATCCCGATTACACACAAAGGCTGATTTCTGAAAAGGGATACGTTCCACTTTTGCAGCTACAAATATACAGTAAAAAAAGTTAAAAGATAAAGCTTCTTTATGCCTTAAGTTAAAGTTTGAAGGCTAGAAAACATACTTCTCTATATATTGACTGGTAACACACTACTGGAGCGACAGTGAACTCTATTGATGAAGAGGAAGTGAGTGTTTCCAGCCACAGGAAGCAGGAGGTTTTATTAACTACACTGCTGACAGATGACTTCAACTAATTCAGAAAGAAAATGATTACCGTAGGACTGATCATCAACAGACGGAAGAGGTTTACAACGCCTACCGCTGTTTATGTGTCGGCACGCAATTAAATATTTGTTCGGGTTTTGATGGCAACCTGAGGTGCTCAAAATCAACTAAATAACAAAAAAAGCACATTTGTACAGTAAACGTTTTGACGTGTGATGAGCGGATCTATTCCAAGCAGCCGAATCAGCTTTCCGCTCTGCTAACATCCTTCCTCTTTCTGCGTGGACACCCCAATCATAACCGTCCACTGGCTCTCGTTCATCACGTAATAAATCCAGGACAAAATGACCATTCGGCCCGAGCCGTCGGGTTATGAGGCGATCGAGAGGTAACGGCCTCTGCAGCATCAGCAGAAAAAGCCTCCAGAGAAGCTGCCAGTCCAGGAGAAAATCTAGCTGGATGTCAAGAATGGAGAGTCCAAAAAGCAGAAGCGGTTGGTCTGCGGCCGGGTTATAAATAATCAGCTCGATGGGGAACAGTTCCTGAGTCATTGTTTAAAGCTGTGAGTTTCACTGCGAGACCAAAACACAGGAACGCTGGCTTCTGTAGATACATGTGGTTTATTTGTCTCAGTGGACGCTCAGTGAAATGTCTAAACATAGATCCGACTCTAACCGGGACAACCGTGGGGTGAGAGGAGTTATACATGACAACTATTTTCTAATATGATAAATTAAGTGCAAATACATCTTTGCCACCTCTGGGCTTGTTTCAATGAAATAAAAACAACCAGAAAAAACAAACACTATAACAAGAAAGAACGTGACAAGAAATTATAACTTTCTTATCAAATCTAGTATTAAGCTTATCAAGCTTCAGGGAATGAACAGCAGGGGGGCTCCATCACACAGCGAGGGAAATGGGATTTGTAAGAGAATATCATATAATAATATAATACAAAGTAAATCAGGTTGTAAAGAAGCTACCACTTAAACTAAAAGTAAGCACTCCTGACAACATATCCTCAAACGGTTCGTATGATATCTTACGAACAATCATTTTTTGTGCGTTTTCCCACAAAACTCCAGCAACACGTGTCAATTGTCCACACGTTACATTCACAAGGTCTTTTCAAAATGAACTTCTTAACCGTCTGACCAGGAAAAGAGAACTACTTGGCTAGGTTTAAGAAAAGATTATCATTCGTGTTAAAATAACTCCAGAGTGCCGTAACTAAAGTACGTAAGCTACGTGAGAAAAACATCAACGTTGACTGCTAGTTCCACATGAGGAACTAACAGTGGCCGCTGTGTGTTGGACCTTCCCCACCGCCTGCCCTTTGTGTGCTTTTGCTGTCTTTATACTTCCTCGTTTATGATTCCATGACCAAAATAATGTAGTGTGATATCTACAAGTTACAGGCTTACTGTTTGTCGTTGGTTCAGCTACGAGTGCTGGATGAGACCAGCCTGCTGCTCCTGAAACGTCTGGAATAAACCGTCATACTGTAAGTACAGTAAGGTGGTGACTGAACCACAAAGCTGTGAACTGTCATGCATATTTAACACTGCTGTTGGCCTGCAGAAGAGGTTTGGTGAAGCTGGGGCTTTGTTCAAACAACAGAGAACAAACTATGAAGAAGCTTTATTGAAGCTGAGACAGCCTACCCATCATGTGGCCTTACTTCAGCTCACAGCCAGCGCTCCTCTCTGAGCGATGCTGACTGGAACACTGCTGCACCGGGCCCATGTGTATCAGAGAGTCACTGAAGCAGAGCCGGAGCTCAGCGGGGCCGGGGCCGCAAACTGGGGCGAACACATGTCACAGGACTCGGCATAAGGCCGGAAGATCAACAACAAAGAGGAGGAGAGGCAGTGATCCGCAGACAAACACAGGATTGCAACACGCTCTGCCCATTTGGTAAGCAGAGAGAGCATCATGAGAGAAGCTAAGAGACATTTGGGTGGACACATTAGCGTCTAGTTGCAGCTTTACTTGTTTAACACCTCAGAGAGGAGCATAACTTTACCTCAAAGCTACATTCTGCTTTTGATTAGTTATCTTGAAGCTCCAGGAAGCCAATGTAAAGTTCCTTCATTGAAAATAGCATCCGTGCTAACTAACCAGTGGCTGGACAATCTCTATTAGTCTCAAATGTGTATTAATGTACGATAAAAAATAGAATTCAAGCTGCTAAGGTTTATACTTGTCCCCTTTAAGACATTGTACTATAACACTTATAATAATACAGATACTGCTATTTGTTGGGAGTTCTGCTTTTAAACAATGTGTTGGATATAAAAGATATCAGCCGGGTTTAGGGAACGTTTGTCTCTAAATGAACATGATCCAATTCTAATTTCAGATCTGGAAACACCGCCAGGAAGAACAAGATGCCCACACACACACACACACACACACCTCTGGCAACAGATTATCTCGCTTCCTTCGGAGATATTATGAGGCGCACCTCATCTGTCGGTCCAGAAATGAGTTTTGAGAGAACGGACGTAGCTGAAGGAGGAAGCTGGAAACGCTTCAGAGGGACTGAGAACTGCGAGCACAAGCAATTTAGATTCCAAACACGCCGTCGACATCTCCACCTCCAGCTCTCTGTCTGTGACACAGAACTATTTTTACTTCTGAACAGAAGCAAACACCTCGCTGGTCCATCGCTTGTTTTTCTTCCCCGGCGTGAGTTTGAATGTCCAGCGGTTGACCCATGCAACCAGACGGCTCACCGCATACCTCAGCAACATAACGGGGAGGATTAAGAGGGCCGCTCTGATGAGGATTAGAAACCCACAGCACCATCATCATCACACAGTGTGATCAACAACCTAAAGCTAGTGACCCTGTCAAGCAGCAGTCAGCTGGGGAAATGCATGCATGGGAGAAAAATCCAGATTCTTAAATTCTACGATTTTGAATCGATTCACAACAATTTTGCATTCGAAAGTGACTACTATTAATATTTAATAGTGAGAGAAAAGCAGCACTCTGCCTGGTGAAAACGGAACGCATCGCATGACTGCAGCTCAGATCAAAACATCACGTGTGATTTGTTGAAAAATCGCTCAAAATATCAGTCTTACAGTGCTGTCTTGTGTGTAATTTCCTAATATAAAATTAGCAATTTTCAGAGCAATAACAAGGCAACTAGCTAACTATTTGTATGACTTAAAATCGGTTCTTCTCCAAGTCATTGAGAATTGACAAAAATGACCCCATCAAACCACGTCTCGTCTTGGCCGAGCCAAAAGAAAAAGAGGTAACTGCCGTGCAGCGAGGAGCTGAGGCCGCTTCCTCGGCCCTCCGGTCTTTTTTCAAAGCTTTTCTCTTGAAGCGGACGCCGGCTTCAATGAATGTCTCACGGAGCTCGCACCAACTCCGGGGAGATGAAGGCAGCCATAGCCCTGGAAGAGCCGAGCTCTTCAAAAGGCTTGTGTGGTCGTTGCTCTGGAGAAGGTGATGTAATCACAGAAATGCCTCCTGCCTCACAGTTTTGGGGGGGGGGGGGGGGGGGGGGGGGGGGGGGGG